TTTGAACAAATCGACTTAGTAGAGATCCACAGAGTGTTTCATCCAACAACAGAATACATGTCCTTAGCAGCACTTGGGACTTTCTCCAAAACAGAACACCTACTAGCTCATAGAACATGATTAATTAAATGGAAATGAATTGAAATTATCTCATGCATATTATAAGATTACAGTTCAATAAAGTTGATAAATGCCATCTATGACAAACCAGCAACCAACGTCACACTGAATGGTCAAAAGCTGAAAGCTTTTGCTCTAAAATCGGGAACAAGACAAGGATGTACACTATCACCTCTCCTATTCAATACAGTTCTGGAAACATTAGCAAGGGAAATTAGAAAAAAGAGAGAAATAAAGGAAATATGGATAGGAAAGGAAAAAGTTAACATAATTATTTGCTGATGACATGATACTCTACATACAAGACCCCAAAAACTCCACCAAAAGACTCCTAGAATTAATAGCCAAATATAGCAGCATAGCAGGATACAAAATCAACATTCAAAATCAGTAGCATTCTTTTTTTTTTTTGGATTTTTAGTTTGTTTGTTTTTCTTCTGGTACCAGGAATCAAACTCACTGTCCTGAGCTTGCCAGGCAGGTGCTGTGCCACCGAGCTGAATCCCCAGACCCCAAAATCAGTAGCATTCTTATACAGGGATAACAAACTCACTGAAATAGAATTTAGGGAAACAACACCTTTCCTAACAGCACCAAGAAAAATGAAATGCTTAGGAATCAGTCTAACAAAGGAAGTGAAAGACTATACATTGAAAATGATAGCGCTCTGAAAAAGGAAATGGAAGAGGATATTAGAAAATGGAAAGCTATCCCTTGTTCTTGGATAGGTAGAACTAACATAGTGAAAATGGCCATATTTCCTAAGCTGCTGTATAGGTTTAATGCAATCACAATCAAAACACCAATAGCATACCTCACATACCTAGAGAAAAGAACACTGAAATTCATAAAGAAGAAGAAGAGACCTAGGATAGCAAAAGAAATTCTGGGCAGGAAGGACAAAGCAAGGAGTATTGTAATTTCCAATTTGAAGTTATACTACAAAGCCACGGCATTGGGGAAGGCAAGGAAGGGAATAGAGATTTTTTTTTTAAATGTAGGGAACAAAATGGAAACCAAGATTTTGTAAATGAGGAGTGGAAGAAAGGTGAAAGGGAGGGGAAAGGAACGGGAAAAAAAGAAGAATTAAGATATATTATGTAAAAAAAAAAGATATATTATGTACAGGTACAATTCCCTATGATGAGTTTGATCATTGTGTATGGCAAACATCTACCAATAAAAATTAACTTTAAATAAAGAAAAAATAGGCTCTTCATTGAGAGAAAAATAAAATTAACTGTAATCTTGATAAAACAGAGCTCAAACAAGGGGCTGGGGATTTAGCTCAGCGGCAAAAGCGCCTGCCTGGCAAGCGCAAGGTCGTGAGTTCCGTTCCCGGTACTGGAGAAAAACCAAAAAAAAATATACGTACATATGTAGAAATACACACATATATGTCATGATGTATGTACTATGTTAAAAGTCAAATTAAACTTAAATATATTATATATGTGTGTGTGTGTTATTTTTACCAGAAACAGAAAGAGTAACATGGGCTAAATTTAATAAATCAGTGTTGGCACACCTATGGCACGCGTTGTTGGGTTTTTTCTTTTAAAACATAACATTTTAATGCAGAATTGTT